GTGGTAATACCGGAACAACAGGTTGTTGATGTGGAACAGTGGGATAATTATTGTTGGGATTCGGCAATCGGTTGTCGTCCACTGAACTAATGGAACTCAACGTTAATCGGTCCACCAAATTGAGGAATGGATCATTCTCACCCGCCCCGTGTGAAACTGGGGCCGGATATGACATGCCTCCCGTAATGGTCGCGGTGGTCACTGTTGACGTACCTATTGATCTCAAATATGGAACTTCCTTCCCATACGAGGTTGTTCGAATACTCGGAGGTGGAGCATAGAAACTGGGTCTTGGAGGTGGTTTTCTAAGTTTCCTGCCTTAACGCATTGACCTGAGTAGCTAAAGATTTGATATGAGACTACCGATGTCAGTCATCGCTTTGCTGAAATCAGCTTTTGTCACAAATTGAGAGAGATTTTGTTGTTTAGGAATAGCTCCCGTTAAGGTCAGCGGCGGGGACGACGTGGTTACTGGAATACCTCGAGCCGCTTCATCTAATAATCCACCGGATTCAGAATCAGTTTCCCCAGCTGTGGAAAAGAAGTTATCCTCTGCCCAAAAATATTCCGAAAATAACTGTAAGGTTTTACAAAATTCTTCGTTGCTCTGTGTTTTTAGCTCACCAGCTGCGTGATTCCTAATCACCGCCAGTCGGTGACCCAGATGCAATAAACGCGCTTTGCAAAATTCTGTTTGACCTCGAGGTGTGGACCTGAGAATTTGCCGGAGTTCTGTGAAAATCATTCTGCACATACCTAAATCGATTTCTGGGTCTAGGTCATAGTGGATCATAAATTCATGACCCTCTCTTTCGTCTTTCATGATCTGTTTCAACCTGCGTCGACGTTTACACCGTGATTCATCGTCTCCGATTACTATGTTATGGAGGAGGAGCTCATAATCGAGCTCGCCAGGGTCAAGATGGTCAACACGCATGCCACGGTAGAGTGCACCGAAATCTGGGTCAGATACGGACCTTCGCGACATTTTAGCAAAAGGTGATTAAAATGTGAAACCAAATGTAACTTTCTACCTCTGAAACCGAAAAAAAATCACTAACGGCTATTCAAACACCGATCACACCCCGAACTGTATCCTGTTAACTGCAATAATCCCTGAGCGATCGAAGATGACTTTGAGAATGGATCACTCGTATCACAGAACAAAGACCAATCGGCTTCACCACGTGGCTTAGCTTTTCTAACTACCGCGAATCTAACCAAAAATCCACCAGAGTGGATAATATTTGAGAAGAAATTACTATTTCTCGAAAACTCCCCCAACGCACAGAAGGAAAAAAATATCGGGAGATATTTTTCCCCTCCTGAGAACCTTTCTAGAGAAATTTACGTTGGGCGCCAAATATAAGACTACTTTATAAGCCCCGGAACCGCTGAGTTCCTAAAGGGAACCCCCCTAAACCCCAACCTGCTGGTCTTGACCAACGGCAGCTTCCAGGGTTGGCATTCAAGACCTTTGTAGGTTCCAGGTCTCAGGGCGTATAGGCGTGTTTAAATACCTGCTTATTAGATTTGACGGTACATTGCGGGCGGAGGGCGGCGATGGCGATACGTCGAAGGTGGCGCTAGTCCAGAGGACGCCGGTACAGTGCGGGCGGTGGTCGCCGATGGCAACGGTGCAGGTGAGACCTTGGGGGTGACGGTGGTTCAAAGGACGGCGTCCCTGCTGGTAGTGGCTTCGGAAGTAGAGATGAATGTGATGGCGGCCACTACATGGGCCGAGCCAATGGCCACAACCAGGGCGATCTCTTGATGCCGGCGAAGCTAGTAGGATTTCGCGGGGTACTCGGTGACGCAGTAACCAGTGGTATTTCTCGTCCGTAGCTCGGTAGCAACTCACACAAAGGCGGTGGCTCCGATCAAGGCGTGCTATTGGTGGGGACGCTACTGGACAGGGCTTGGCACTAGAAATAGCCAGGACAATGGCGGCCGCGATGGAGGCTGACGTGTACGCGGATGACTGGTCGCCTGGGGCCAGAAGCGGGCCGGATCCCCGGCAGCGTAGGTGCTCGTTAGCGTGACCGACGCGATAGATGTCGCTTGGCGGAGCAGACACGGAAGGTCATCCAACACGGGTTTTTCCAAGACCGTTCGCGGTAAGGCGAGGCCACGACATCGAGGTGGGCAGAAACTGGTCACTTAGACTCTTCGTCCGTAAACTCCACGAACACTGGCTCTCCCCTGAGAGAGTTTCCGCCCCAACTTCATTCAGGTTCAGTGGATTCCATCCACCCACCACTAGCACTTACTCATTAGCTGTTCGGTCACTCTTCTGATATCAGCCGCCCGCGCATTCAAACTTGGCGTTACAAATCGGAATAAATTAATTCCCTAATATAAACATTCTTACTCTTCCGTGTCATTTAATTTTTAAGTCAGCAATGTTACCCACCGGTAACAACTTTGCGTTTTAAAATTTATTAGGAAAAAATAAAAATGATAGGTGTTGCAGTCATCCCTCCAGTGGAAGCCTTGCAACACTTTTCTTCTGTTTGCAGATCGTTCTCGAACTAACCACTTTTTCTGCATCCGTAAACAGTGTTTTGAGCGAGGGAAACGATGCAGGAAATATAATGTATTGCTATGGCTAGCTGCGCGTACGCTGAGTAGGTAGAAAGAAGATTTATCACGATTTTGAAGATTTCCTGCAAAAAGATGATGCACGATGCAAGTAGATGTGAGAAATGAAAGAAGATTTTTCAAAGATTTATTCGCTAGTGTGAGATTTTTTAAGCATCTAGAATTAAGATTTAGATGTGTCGCCTCCCTCGGTTTAGAGGTCCTCTTATGATCCAGGTGTCATACAAAAATCGACTTTTGTAGACAACAAAAAATAGAAGCAGTAATATCATAGAGGTAACTCTAAGACCACTGGGTCCCGAAGAAAATCATTATTATTTTTGGCTCACTCAGTACCAGAACAACGGTCCCAAGCAGTCCCAAGCTATTTCACTCACCCCTGCATGTTCTGCATGAATCCACACACCCCTGATGTTATCTGTCAAACTTTCATAGCGAATCAAAACAAACATAGTGTAGTAATAGAATTTCAACTAAAATAGGGTACGTTAATCGTTTGCTTGGGACCAATAGGCTACTAAAGTGGTGAGCCAATTTAAAATCGTTAGTTTCGTATTGATTGTTGGTAATATACCCGATGTCGTCAAAATCTGAGCCAATCGAACATTCCCATTAGAATTTTTCCGGGGATTTCTTATTCTTACTGGATTAAATTTGAAAGTATTGCAATCGAACAGAAATTCAATCACCTCTATGTTTCGTGTGCTCCTCAAATTCAACTAGTTTTTTTAATCAAAAATAATATTCTAACTCTATAGATTAATTGATCTTAGTTGGTTAACTAATAGCACCAAAAAATGTGCAAAATATTGCGATGCACTCAATTATTATTTTGCACGTAAACCGAAGCAAAAGTAAAATTCATTTGAAAGCTTCTAGCGAGGGTTGCACAATAATTTAGGTACAAATCCCTGCTGCCGAATTGCATTTTGTTTTCTCCGCCCATCTCTCCCTCTGAGTATTTCTAGTATTGGTCACACAGGGAAAAAAAATTACCCTAAATTTAAGTTCTTTTTACTTAATTTTGAGTTTTGCATCCCACTCTCACTTTTTGTTGTTTCCGAAAACGAAACAAGAGTTTCGATTTTCTCATGACTATCATTCAATAAGCTACTAGTGAGTATATAGATATTCTCAAATTTGAGTCAATTGAAATTAATTTTGGGTAGAAAATACTCACGAGTAAGCAACTATTTTTGCCGTAGTTAAATGTAAACTACTATAAGCGGTTTACTGAAAATTAGCTTATTGAACGGAACATCATGAGTGAGGATGAGTGAAGAGAGCTAAATTTTGGGTAAATTTTCGGTTCCGTGCAAGTTCCTATTCTGTTTACAATACTGATAAGGGAGAACGGCCCATAATGCACCCCTGGGGTAAAATGGCCCCGTGCGGTTTTCCGTTGCTTTCCCATTACTAATTCTGGAAATATCATGTGCCAGAATGTTAGTTCAAGCACTGAACTAGCAATGCTGATTGTTAAATTCACGAATTGACAATCGGTAAGCTATGAAAAACAGGGCAGGGCCATTTTACCCCAGGGGTGCGTTTTGAGCCATCCTACCCTATGTTCAATTCCGTTCAGCTTGTTGGTAGCTTACGAACTTTTACCATTCCTATTGGAAGCGAAATGAGACCGAGGTGGCATCTGGAGTTTGATTATCGACCTCACTCTTAGATGTCGCTTTCATTAGCGTGTAGCCTGGTAAAATATCTTTGAGAAGTGGGAATAAATTAACATTGAGCAGAGTGGAGGTTTAATCACATTCAATTTGATTAATCTATTTGACCCAATTGGATGTTTGAATTTTTATAATGTTTGATGATTGCTTTATTAATCTTCAAAATAGGGTAAATGACGGCTTCACCAATACTTTCACCTATTATTAGAAGGGTAAATTAAGTTATTTCAGTGTCAACATTTCAAAGGGGCGTAATTGCTTTTGTAAACAATGGCTTTAGCCGTCGATTTCTCGCAAATTAAAGCTCACCCCTCCAAATTGAAAATTCCAGCTGGTAGAGGATACATTCATCTACCTGTTGAAGTCATTGACTTTCACGTGTGAGCTTTTATTCGCGAGAAATCGACGGTTAAAGCCATTGTTTACAAAAGCAATTACGCCCCTTTGAAATGTTGACACTGATTTGATACTCTTTCCTTAAGTTTGAATATTCGGGCGATTTAGTGAAAAAGATCATTATTGTGTTCACATTCAAATTGAAACACTGTATAGACAAATGAAGTTCGAGTATTATTCTATAAATTTAATTTACGTAATTTTTATGGTGTGGGTTTGTCGTTAAGAGTATTAAATTATAAGATATTTAAAGTTTAAAATCGTAGCTTTATTTTATGATCGAATATTAAAATAAACATTTACATATTGCACAAGATATAATTAACTGCAAGTTGACACTTAACCAGTGTAAACAGTAATGAGTCTTATTAAAATCTTTGAAATCATTCGTTGTTTTCATGATCCTGCTCTTTGGTTTACAAAAAGGGAAAGATATTGGATTTGAACCAGTCCTTGGTGAATTGAAGATGGTTGCCTTCACATTCCAAAAATACGAGCTTATTCCGTTGATGCATTTCCTGCAGCCCAAGGCGGTTCTGAAATTGTCAATGTTTAGCGAAATTCATTGATGTGTCCTCACGCCATACCTTCAAAAACAACTCGGACTCCTCGAGCTTTTGAGTTTCCTTGTCTTGTCCCGGTTTGTAATAGCCAAACCACTGCGACTCGATCGGTTGTACAATTTTATCCTTGGTGAATTTCACCATCACAAATTTGTTCAAACCCTGCAGGTTCTGGATGTACGTTTCGTTTACCATCCGTTCGTTGTTGATATCAGCTAGGAAAGTGCTCGATTCCCTGTACACATACTCATTCAGCGGATCGTGCCAGTAGGTAGCTTGTACCAAGTAGTCCTGCACCCATCGCGCGTACGCAGCATAGTTAAGCAACTGCCTAAAGTATTCGCATGTCTTACTGCTGAGCGATGGACAGTCCGGCAGTCCAAATACACCCTGATGCTGGCCCCCGAGGGTGATCAAGTTGTTCATTTTAGGAGTGGGACAGCGCTGAGCAATGGCACGGCTATTGAATAATAAAGGAAATCATTTGATGACTAGAATCACACCATAATCTTGGATCGAAAATTAACATACAGAAATTGTCCTCCTTGCGAGAATCCGATCGCATTGTAGCCATTTGCTAGTTTTGGATCGTTGTTCAGCTGTTGGCAGACGTCTTCCACCTTTGGGAGAAAGGCAATAAAGAAGTAGACACCAAATATGAATGTTTACCACCCCATCACGCACATTGCACATACTTTGATATGACGCTGCCTTTGAGTAGGGAAAGAAAAATGCACCAGTATACAAGTAAATACCAACCTGCTTGTTGGGGTGAATTAAGTAACCACTCTTGTAGTCCGTAACGATCGAATTGCCAATTTCTACAGACTTGATGTACACCTCAAGTTCTGCCTCCAAGAATTTCTTGAAGCCACCTAAACTGAACGGGAAGCAACAGGTATCACCTACAACAAATTGCATTAGTTTTGGATCATCAGGAACGTTCACAAACAAAGCCTACCCATTCCATGCCACATAACGATGGGAAGTCCTCCGGTTGTGTTGTTTTCTTTGGCTTGACATCCTGATAGGATGAAACCTATGGTCAGAACACTTAGCCCAAATATATTCATCTTTGTAGAGTATTGAGATGGCACCGTTCGTTCTTATTATCACAGTTTTATTCGAGTAGCACTCCACAAGCAGAAATCAAACTTCACTGAGTCATTGCCAGACGCGTAATGGAAGCAATAATCGATTGAGAACAAAAAATGTAAATAAATATAGCGAACGCCGAATCAAGTGTTCGTACCTTCGAATGACTGGTAGTTTGTGGAAGTTAACTTGAGACTGTGACTGGCTGACAATGATAAGCATGAAATTCTACATCTAGCAGAACTTTGTGTTTCAAACATTGCGTTTCGAATGTGTTTTTGTCTATTTCCGATAGATGGCTACGGAGAAGTTCAAGAGCTTTGCAAGCTTTCCAGGGATGTAGTTTTGAGAGGGTTGGAGGGAATGTTGAAAATACCATACACGCCCATTCAGTGGACCTTTTGATTTTTGCAAAAATAACAATTGTATGTAACCCTACAACTGTCAAAAATATGTTGCCGATTGTCCTATTATTGGTAGTGGGCGGTAAGTTGGATTTTTAATAATAGTCCCTTTCAGTTAGCGAAAGATTAGTGTAATGCGTGGGAGCGACTCTATCTGCGATGCAGGAAAGATGTTGTTTTGATGTGGTTAGCTGCACGCACGCTGAGTAGATAGAAAGAAGATTGATGACGATTCTGAAGATTTCCTGCAAAAAGATGATGCGCGATGCAAGTACACACTAAGATTTTGTTTTTGTGTTCGGTAAATTTTACCGAAATCAGAACAGCTGAATGTTCGGTAAAACTTTGTCCTTCATTTTAAAGGCTATTGAATTTGAAAATAATTTCAAAACATGTTCAACCTATAGATTCTATAGATTCCATAGATAAGCGGAGGCACAAAAAGTTGTTTTGGCAACCATGAAAAATAAATGATCTTACTGGCATCCGTGAAAAAAGTTCATGCCATCAAAGAGCTCTTCGTTGTGCAGCTTTGTTTTGTTTCGTGCTTAAAAGTTCAAAATGAATGGCAAAGCAAATCTTTGCAACAATGAATCGAGGAATCTTTATCTTTTCTTCTTGCGTTGTCCGCGTAATAAATCGGAATGTGGAGTGTGGCAAGCAATTTGTGCTCATAATATTACAATACTTCTCCCTCAAATAACACCATGATGACGTTATGCTCGTTTGGCTACATTGTACTTTTCCTCCGTTTATCTATGGAATCTATAGTATCTATATTTCAACCTTGTTTAAATGATCAAATCTTGTCATTTTAGTGGAGATTTAGTTTCAAAGTAGCTGAAAAGCAACTGAATTGAATTGCATAAATTTTACCGAACATGTCAGCTGTTCAGATTTCAGTAAAAATTACCGAAATCGGCGATAATTTCTTAGTGTGCAGATGCGAATAATGATTTTTCGAAGATTCATTCGCTAGTGTGAGATTTTTCGAGCATCTAGTTTTGAGATTTGGATGTGTCGCCCCCCTCGGTGTAATGGGCCGTGTGAAGACAGAAAGTAAGGTCTACCATGATAAAACTACGCGCAAAACATATGTCTCTTACATTCAATGTAAGGTTGGCTTTATTACATTCTCTGCTTATTTTTAATTCCGTTATTCACCGGACGGCAATCACTGGGCGGACCGAGAGTAGACCGATTTCACTGGGCGGATCGAGGACAGCTTCCACTAGAAGGACTCATTTCACTAGGCGGACTTCTTCGGATGCTAACGGATTTTAAAATAGACTTGTTATTCGTTTAGATTTCCAGAGTCAACTGAACTGGTTCTGTATATTTCTAACATATTTATCCTGGCATCAGTGTTGCCAAATTAGCACAGGCACTTAACATCGCACCGTCATTTGACGTATCGATGAAATGCGCACGTATGCCACACATATGTCTCATACAACAAATGTAATGGCAGTTCTTGCAATGGACTGTAGTGTACAAGCCAGTTTTTCAAGAATGCATATTTTTGTACATATGCCGTTTTCTTATGTGCATATATGAAGGGATAGCTATACATTAGTATTCCCCAAATCGCAGCATAGTGAGCTAGTTCAGAGTCTAGCGTTCTGAGGGCCTTTATCGCCTGAACAATGTTATCGAAGATAGCATCTTCTTACACAGTCAGGATGTATATACAGCCATTCCATAGCAAAACCACAGACAAACAGACGTAACTCTTGGACTGAAGTTCCAGCGGAATGAAAGGCCGAGTTTTTAATATTTAATAAGTTTACATTTAACTTTATTTACACGAGATGTACACACATCGAGTTTACTTTTGCGAATGATGAAAATGGCGCACACAGCAGAAGGCTGATGCTGCGCTCTCGCTCTGCTATTTCGTCCAAAGGAAAGCCATGGAACGATTGGTTTCCTTCCGAAGCACTATCGTAGAACGATCCATTCAGATCCCGGCCGTCTTCTACCGATTCCATGAATTCTTCTACCGACTCCGAATTTTCTTCCGATGACGTTGAGCTCCCATCCATCTCATCCCGAGATTCATCTACTGATGGCAACACTAGCGGTACATTCAGAACTCCTCCTGCTTCTAGACCCTGGATCCGAACAGCCTCTTTCGTATCGCATAGCTCCAGGAACTTTGCATCCCTGCTAATCATAATCATATCCGTTTCAGCGTTCAAGAAACGATACGCCTTACGACCGTCAGCATACCCTACGAACACCAGCTTCTCAGCCTTGATATCCAGCTGGCGCCGCTTTTCCTTGGGGATATGCACGTACGCTTTGGATCTGAAGATCCTTAGATGACCGTAGTAGATGATGGCAAACGATTCTGCAATTAGTTTGTAGTGCAAATCGCTTCGCCCCAGTACCTCTTGTTAGCGTTAGCGTTGTTATGATATACTTCGTAGATTAGATACTAGCGACACTCACGTCTCTTCTGAAATTCTCAGTTAGACTACTTTCAGGAATAATGCTGTGGAGTAAACATTGGTTCCAATCTAAACAAGAGTAACAGAAGCCTGACTGTCGCTATTCCCGGCCACGCCCATCTTTACCATAACTAGGGATAGGGAAGGAAATGTCGATGTAGTATGTACTTACTTAACGAGAGGCCACCGACTTAGCGACACCCTCATAAATACTATGGAGTTGGAGGGTTGGGTGGGTATTCGGTTAGGATTCACCGCAAGTTGGCGATGCAACCAAAAGTATATGTTGTTTATTTGTTGTTCATTTAATCTATCGATAGCCGACTATCGAAAGAAAATATTGATTTTGTTTAGCAGAATTTTAAGAGTCATGACGGAGAGCTTGGGATTAAACCCATGATTTTCTGCTCAATAAGTAAAAACGATCCCTCTAGGGTCATCGAGCATCTCAGAACCATAACGCTTCGCGACAATAGAGGACTACGTTTTCGCTTGATATGCAAATAGTTTCCGAGGTTAATGTTCAATATCAAATATACAAATGATGGTGGCGATTTATTGTGCTGTGGAAGAGATTGGGGTTAAATCCATGATTTATTGATAGTACCGCCATCTGTGGCGCACATAGTCAATTCTCTTGCGTTTGACGTTTTCACATTGTACCCAGTACCTCTTGTTCAACCGTAACTCGGAAAGCATACGCCGCAGCATCTTAACAAGATAGCGGTTCTTCCGATTGGCGACACCATTTTGCTGTGGTGAATACGGTGCCATCTGCTCATGAACTATTCCACGCTTCGTGAAAAACTTCCGCAACGAGCCTCCCGTGTATTCGCCACCACTGTCAGAAGGAATCTTCTTGGGATATGGCCCGACCTGATTTTTCATCAGACTGCAGAAATCCCGGATTTTCTCTTCTGCGTCCGGCTTCCGACGTAACAGATGCACTACCGCTCTTCGCATGTCGGTCCCAAAGCAATTTTTATCAAAACTTAGTTTTACAATGCAAATGGTAGCTGATCACCCATATTTTCATAATACTGGATGAACTCATAAACTTTGTTCTGAATAAGTTTGGAAAGACAGCCAAATTGGTTGTCTCGTCACATAAGAAGCAATGGTACGAATCAAGCTTAGAATGCGATTTTCTCGGCTTGCTGATTTTTGCCATGGGACCGACATGCGAAGAGCGACAGTGTAATCGTCTACTAAAACGATGTACAGCCAGGAATCCTTATTGCCGGGTTAACGGGTGCGTGAATAAGGAACCGCGAATAAGGGATTTACACTAATAGGGGCTGTAGTGGATTATCTCATTTGTTTTAATATATAGAGCTATACTATCTTCGACAAAGATGTTGTACTGGGATTGATCAACAAGCCTGTGTCATTGGATTCAGGTTTAATTGGGAACTACGCCGCTAGAGGCGCTTCACTTTTATGTTACTTATGACGGGTGCTATAATATATGGATCTTAGGTCCAACATAGAATATTTCGTGATCCTGGCCATATAGAAAGTTACTGTCTTGAGCAAAGTTGTTCAAGTGACCAAGTCCTTTCGAATGGTGGTCATATTATTTCAGAACTCTCTCACTACGCAGTGCTAGTGTGCACATGAGTTTCGTGTAAAAGCTGAATCTCAAAATTCTGGCCATATAGAAGGTTACTGTCTTGAGCAAAGTTGTTCAGGTGATCATGGCTTTTTGTATGGTGTTCATATTAGTTCAGAACTCTCTCACTACGCAGCGCTAGTGTGCATGTGAACTTCCTATATAAACTGTATCTCAAGAACCTGGCCATATAGAAAGTTGCTGTCTTGAGCTAAGTTGTTCAGGTGACTAAGTCCTTTTGGATGGTGGTTATATTATTTCAAAACTCTCTCACTACGCGGCGCTAGTGTGCACATGAACTTCCTTAGGCTGTGAACCATTTGGTGAGTTAAATTTAACTCGTGGTTAAAAGTGACATTTCGAAAGTTATTTCTTATGTTCGAAAATCCCCGTGCTGTCGATCGACCGGTTTTCGAGCCACGGTCGTCAAAATTTAACTTCTTGTCTGTCAGAAGTAACCACGCTCGGATAGCAGGGTTAATCGATAACTTTTCATCTGTCAAATTTTAACCAAAAGTTAAAATAATCCACCAAATGGTTCAGAGCCTTAATATGTTATGTATGAAAAGCTTGTCCATATAAGGATGTTGCTGTGCAATGCGAGGACGCGAAACAGAATAGGGATGACGTGTAGAGAGGCTGTAAATCGATTTTGGACTCCATTTTAAAATCCAAGATGGCGGTCATCGATTCCAGGCATTCATGCCAGG